GCTTGATCACAAGTGGGAATGGATATCAAGCAATCATCAACATAGAAATTATTCTTGACATCATCTACAACATAACCATCATAACCGTCAGAGAATATTTGGGCCGTCTTATTCAGGGCAAGGTTCGCGCAAAATGGCGATGATGTGGGATCAAATGGATGGGATATCATTTGAAACTCGGATGATTCCCTCGACATGTCTCCCTCTTGCCACCACAGAAATCTTGAAGCTCCTCGATCAGACTCAGGGACCTTCACTTGCATGAACATTTCTTCAACATCTACAGGGATTGCAACTGCCTCCTTGCGAAAACTTATTAATATACACCTTAACTCAGCAGTGGTATCGGGTTCTTGATAAATCATATCATTTGGGGGAACCCCTGCAAACTGGGCGGCACAATCAAGGACCACTCTAAGATCTGGTTTTTTCATGTTTAATACTGCACGATGAGGTAAATACCATCGAGGGCGATAATAAGACTGCAGATATATTTCAAAGACCCTCTCCGCATAAGTCTTAGTAAAATCACTTTCAGTACTTTTGATATACTTGATGTGCAGACTGACATCCTTCGACAACATACCCTTCAAACTTTGTAATCTACGGTTTGCTACTTCATAGTTATCCACTTTCATATCTGGATTCTTTTTCCAAGGTATAGAAACTACAAAATGACCGTTGCCGAAGCGCGTGCCACCTTCCACAATCTTTATAGCCATCTTGTCGTCTACTGATAATGATTTATCACTTGAATAAGCATCTGAAAACTCTACGTCATAAGGCCTACGTATTTCGTTCTCTAATGTCTGTATCTTACTGGTATGATTAACAACTCTTTTCCTATATTCCGGGCATGATGGCTTATCATTTACGACGTTGCTTGTCGAGTCAGTGTGCAGCAGAGCGTGATGTCTCCTCTCGCAACTGTCAACCTTACAGAGCCTTGTCATCTTACATTCATTAACCTTATGTCCTTGTCTAAGACAGACGAAACAGATACCCTTGCTTTTAGCGTGAGACCATCGGTCTTGCACTGTAAGCGCTAAGAACTGTGGACATTTATCAATGGCATGGTCGTAGGAACACATACTGCATTTAGTTTTCATTGTCGAACTATTCCCTTGCTCTGATCGCACGTGACAGTTCGTCTTTACGTTATGTCCTTTTCTAGAACGGTTTGCTAACCGTCCAAATCTACTACAAGCCACTCTCGCACGCGATGCGATAAACTGAGTGAGCTCGTCGAAGGTCGGTTCTCTGTTATCTTCAGTCAATTTATCCACCCAGTCCGCCCACTGGGCTTGCATAGGTTGAGGCAAGAGTCTCACTATTCTTTCCAAGGTAACTAAGGAATTTAGATCAGAAGTATAATTCATTTGTTCCAAGACCATGGCACAGTTTTCCATCTTAATAGCCAAATTTGATAGTTGGTCCCCGTCAATATACTCAAAATTCACAGCACTGAATAAGTCCTCTAGTGTTTCTCGAGCAATTACGTGAGGCTGTCCGAAAAAACGTTTTAAAATCTCCCTTGCTCTTTTATAGCCAGAGGATGCCTCCATCATGACGCAACCTTCAATAGCTGTTTTAGCCTTGCCCTTGCAGTAGTGTATCAAATAGAGTAAGCGCTGGCTATCATCCGTGACTCTTGACGCTACATACGTCTCAAATTGCCTTATAAATTTCCAATAACCTCTTGGCTCTCCATTGAAATAACTCAGTTCAACCTTTGGTAGCTCTGGGCCAACAACATGGACTATAGGCGACATGCTCTTTCCTAGTAGTTCAGGCCTTTGCTCCCCCCTTAAACTAAGATTTTTTACATCAACTGACATCGAATTAAGGCTAGAATCACTGCCATGATAATTAACCCTATTTAAGTCTGAACCATGACCCTTAAGGACGTCAAAAGGCACTTGCTTGACAATAGGGGATTCTTCGTTAAGATCGACGAACTTTGAGCCTGATCTCCTTCGACGATTAACTGGCATTATAAGCGACACGACCAATTATTTCCAGAAAATCCGTGAACGATTACCAAAGGATTTCGACCAAGTAATACTTGTTTAGAACTGTAGGATCCAAACTACGGTTTGGATGTTGAAGAATAGCCGACAGGGGATTTTAGACACGCGCCCTTTCCCGTCGAAATCAGAACAAGTAATCGGGTAACTAGCGGTTCTAAACAAATATTATCACCCGGCTATTCAACCAATGATTGTTCAATCAATTAAATCAATCACCACAAATAAATGTTATTCTACCCTGTCTGGATAGATCACGTACAGATTCGTTCAAAAGGTAATAATTGGTCGCTCTATAACACAGAGTGTTTTCAATTCTGGAAGAGTGCTTCAATTCACAACCAAAATGCACAATTCCAGTCAACACAGGTCAAGCAATCAAAAGCAGGGATAAACCAAAATGGCTGCCGCCCAGACTTAGTATGAAGTAAAACAACATAAGTGCAGTTCGGGAAGAAACATGAGGAATTGGTGAAGGTGTGGTAAAAACGAAACTATAATAACACACAAATATTAACAATTCAAATGTATTCAAAAAGTTAACAATGTACAACTAAAAGAATCAATAAAAACAAGGTGTAAGTATATACATGGAGGGATTTTCACCAACACATAAAACCTTCAAAATGTATTTTACAATATGTACTGACAGCATTTAGACATCCCACTGGACAGACATCTTTTTTCGTTTACCAATTGCGCAATAACGACAAAAGTACTGTGGAGTGCAGAACCGCACTCTTCGCCAGTACCACAGTCACCATGGTAGCGTATACACTTGAACTTTTCTGGTTTACCCCTTGGATAAACTTATCTTTTGGTAGTTGACACATATGGCAAGTGGTCAGAGATCCAACTGCACTCTGCACAGTCAGAGAACTGTGTCAACCACTCAGAAATACTAGTCACCAACAATGGGACTTAGTTTGCAACTGCAATCTTCTCGGAATTTTTTCGATAGAACTGAATCAATCATATCCAGACAGAATTCAAGAGGTTACGTGGAGTAACCACGCCCGCATGGACAGGTCATACCATTTCGACAAATTGCTCCCGTGTCCATCACTTTTTACATTCTATCCGTGTTGAATCTTGAGTGTAAATTTTCTCAGTTATCTTATGTTCGACTACGAGGGTCGTGTGGTTAGAACCAATATCACTATGAGTACCTGCCTTAAACTACCATGGCAAACATCCTACATGGATAGTTGGTCGAACAGTGCAAAAGAAATGAAGTGTAGTTTACGTGGTGTCAGTTGACTCAGAAGTTTGAGTGACTCATGTTATCCGACCAAAAGCACCTTTGGAATCCAAACAATTAAAACATTTAAGTTGGCTTGTTAAGGCCAAAAATATACCACATTTTCATTACCTAGAGGTTAGACAATTCATAAGTATAGATCAGTCACTCAGTTGGGGGCTAACCCTAACACTAGGTCCTACGAATAAGCTCAAAGAGAAAGTGTTAGCAGGATGTGGATTGAATTGTTTCGGGCAGGATTGTGTTACATGAAGCCAATGAGCTATTTTTTAAACTATCAGCGCTAGCGGTTACTGATCGATGCAGACGGCACAAAGAACTGGAGGTCCATCAAAGACGAAAAGAATTCACTTGAGCTTTAGAAGACCTTACAACAGTAAGAAAATGTACGTAGACTATGGGTCAAAACAACCTGTAGCGTGGCGTCGATTCGCGGTTGAATATGATCACCACTACAAGAAGGTTACGTACCAGATATCAGAAGGCAATTGGAGGTTGTAGCGAAGTATATTTGTTAGTGATCTCGTGGTATCGAAAGAATACCGAGATCGTGCCAAAGAAGTATGAGCGGAATCACTGAGCAAACGTCAGTTCGTGTAAGGTCACAATCAACGGAAGAAAGAATAGAAGAACAATGGATGTCCTTAGTACAGTTGAACAAATAAGTACAGTAAAACAATCACTGGTGCAACTGGTTATAATATTAATTGTTTCCATTAAATCAATCGCGTTCTCTTGATAAAAGTAGGTCACTACAAACCTATCAAAACAATACGTCATGAGCATTCTGCCTCACTTGATACAAAGCACTGACATTCTCCATAGAGGTCCTTTCCCTATTGTCTTCTCAGAGCGTGATCTCGGGCTCGTAGCCACAGAGGAACTAGAAACTAATTCAGATCACACAGGGGATGCAGTCAAGGCAGACGCAACTCGGTGCTTTATGAGTAAAATCCTGGCACGATAAACCCAGAATTGTTCCCAACATTGCTTAAAACATACAATGTCGTTAAGCCCTCTCCCTTCAAGTGACATAAAGCTCTTGGACCAAGTACAGAGACGGACAACCAAGTGAGCAATAGAGTTCACGAGAATAGACATCAGTATCTGGGATTATTCTCACTGAGCCACAGGAGAACAAGGGGTGATCCGATAATGTTATACAATACATCAAGTACACCAAACCATCCTAACGCGAGCGTATTATCAGTACATCTAGACAACCCGCAAAAGGTCACACATCAACGAACGAACTCTCAGACACGCTCTCATCTTTCTCCGTTACGAGTCCCCTCCACATGAACTTACCTAACAGCCGAAATGACCACAGCCCCCTAGTGAATAGCTTTAAGATGAGACTTGGTAGACATGTTCTGACCCATGGATTACTTATCCCCTCTTGGACCAGCTGCCTAATGCATGTATCATTAGTTGCCTCAGTTATCACTAATGCACAACCAGAAAATACTGTCTGTGTCTCTTATTATCACATTTGTCCTCTTATTATGTGACAAACATACTCACTCTACAACAAGTTATACAAATCCACAAATAACTGCTACGGAGATTCAAAACATCTCAGTTGAGTGGCTAGACTACTATCTATTAGACATAACCATGTATTTGGAAGAGTAAGTAAACAAAAAGCGAGAGCAAAGAAGTCAATCAATTTATACAAGCTCGTCACAATTATATTGGATATTGGAAATCTAGTAGAAGTTAAGGTCACTAGTATAAAACGCCCAAGGTGCACCCCATTTAATTCCTCTCTTCAGTCATAGGTCATTTCATTCATCGTAAGTCATAGGCGCATCATATTATTCAGTTATGTTTCATCGACTACGGCATGTTCGCAAAGGTGAATAATATGGTCTTGGTATTCAGTGTTTTAAGTTTAATGTATCCATGGATCGAAATATTGTATAAAGATATGTTTGGGACAGCACGATTTTTTAATCATTACAGCTATAGCACTAATTAACAGTATTATAATTATTAATACTCGATCCTCAATACTCAAATCGTCATGTCGATTATACCGAGACCAGTAATGTGGCATGGGGCCTAATTTGTATTCACGAATAATTATCATTGTATACAAAATAAATGTCATTCGTTTACTGATGTGCTGTGTTATTTTCTACATTCATACATTGTTGAGTGTGTTCCTTCATACTTATGTTTTACACCACCATGAGTTTTGTCTGTTCTCATACGGCATATTCGAGTTTCATAATTTGTAATCCTTTAACTAAATATTTCTGGATTAAAATTATAAGTTTTAAGTGTACACCAGCCGTCTCCTGATTATTTCCTCTATCCATATTTCATATAACTAGGTTAGTCGGTGCCGGCACTAACTTTATTATATATCTCTATCTATTTAACAGTGTATACCTTTGACAGGGATAGCATTCGAAAATATGACAGTAGGTCCATAGGCATTTCGTTGTAAAAATTAACTCAGACAAGACCAAATTAATGTCATTAACAACATCGTTATGTTTCATTACCCTCCATTACCTAGCTTTCGGGCGTGGTGCCATACTTCACAAAGTTTCAGGTTTCTCACTGATTACCTCATTTTAGTTTATAGTTGGAATCACAGCATATGGTTGCATTTTCATTCAAGTTCATTCAAGTAATATACACTATCATCAATAGTTTGAATTTTTCATGAAATTATTGGGTCAACACAACGCTTTTTTACCAACAGTTCTCAAAACGTGAACACTATGTGGTTAGTTACGCTAGGTTCTCTCTTTAATCTGGTTATGAACTTTGCCTGGTTGTTTTAAACTTTACATTGTTTGCAGTTATCACATTTTGGGCACATGCTTTCTAAGTTATATACTTTCTCATTTCCGTTCATAGGTTCTGGAGTCATTGGAATAAACTTCTGTCACTAATTTCAAACCTAATCCAATCTCGACCAAACCTGTTCACATTCAAGGAGGATACCTACTAACTTGCCTTAAAATATGCAGAATTTCTCCCATACAATATGGATGGGTGATGTATGTTTTGTCTGGTTTTATTCATTTTCCTTTTTTAGCTGGAACCTTACATGGATGAAATGTTTATTAAACGAGCCTTTGAAACATCAGGTGAAAATATAGTGAGTGTAAAAGTTATCCGAAACAAGGCGACTGGGCAAACTCTTGGTTATGGTTTCATAGAGTTTGCTAACTCAACATCTGCGAGAGATGCAATGCTTAAGTTGAATGGCAAGCTCATTCCTGGAGCCCCTGTAAGCTTTATTAGAATTATTCGTCCGCTTAATCTTAATTTTAAACTAAATAAAAGTTTCTGTACGTATTTACAAATCGTTTTAGATTTCATGAGGCTGCATATTGCAATATTTTGTAGACCACTGTTAGCATTCAGTTGGCAGACTCTTTACTATAAATTGAGTCATGACAAATAAAGTCTAAATGTCAAATGACATTTTATTCTGATCATTATCGCAATTCATGTTTGACTATTTGGGTTTCATAACGTCTTCATCATAATCCTTTCGGTCTTATCACATTTATGTTACTGTACTGTAAGTACAAAGATTCTTGAGCATATAGCACTGATTTTCATCAAGAACTATTAGTTCATTAAATATGTCTCAAGAAAAGATTGTGCTCATATTTATCAATAAATTATTTTCTGCTCTATATACACGAGAAATTCATCATTCCAATGAATACTTAAATTAGTTAATTGATTATTCCCCCATGATGATCAAACATTTATACTATATGCATGCAAAATTGTACGTTTTTGACTGAATTTTTCACTAGGCGCCTTGAATTATCTCTTTCCAATATGATTTTATGAGGTCGTTATCCACTTTGATATCGTTTAAGGATAAGAAATAGTGACTATACTAACATTTATGAAGTTAAACAACCGTAGGGTATGCTAAGATAGGTCTTCAACCAAGTTCCCACGCAAATATGCTGCGGGTCGTCATTCATCTTTGGAATTTCAACAGTGGATTTTCATTCGGTTTTATTTCGTTGGTTTTTGCGTGATCTAATGAGTGGATGATATTAATCTAATAGGGTTGTCATAGGATGTGACATGGATGAACGACTAAAAGTAATTCATTTGCTTTTCCAGCTTCAGCACTATTGTCATCATATTAGTTTCTTCTCATTATACAAATGTCCCTGGTGATCTGAATAAAGCAGAACTATTAATTTTTCATCTTCGCTACCTGGGATTTCAATGGGTTGACGTTTTTTTTTTATCTCCGGGTACATTGTTTTGCTAATGTTATACTTAAGGCTCATTTTAATTCACCTCACCTACAAACCGACCGTTTCACTCAAGTAGTATCAGGCATAGCATTGCACTATTCCAAGCTATTCAGAAATCACTATCATTTTATGTAGAAAAAAATCAGAATAGATCAACGAAATATCATGAGATGTATCAAGTTCATATAATAAATTGTTAATTTATTAGACCAAAGTAATAAGGATGAATGCATATATTATGCTGAGTTAGACTTCAAGTTGTTCTTAACAACCACTAAGTTTCAATATTATTGGAACTACTACTAATTAGTTGTAATATATCAGTGGACATTTTCATCGTACATTTGTCCTTAATTTCATGGTGTCTTTTCATAAACCTGTCACATCAAATCCTTCTGGCTAATCTTAACGGCAGATAATAGTTATTTGAAGAATTTCTAAGATGTTTGTAAAGTTAATGTTTTGACTAAAGATTCCCATTGTGAAAATTAGAACAACACATAATGTTTTATCCTTACTACATATAAATTCTTGTACTGTCGGGCACCACAATGGAGAAATGATAGAGTTTGAAGAAATAGAGGAAGGAATGGAAGCACAATGAAAATAATAAAATAGAGATCGATAAATAAGTAAAAAAATATGTAAGATGTCGTTCAGTCAAAAATACAACTAAGAAAGTTTAGTAAAGTCAGTATAATTTGTATTAAAGTGATTTATTTACATCGCCTTTAAAAATCACAATATAATTGTTATCTTATTAGAAGAATCGTTGTGTTTCACTAGGATGGTGGATTATTGAATTTGAAGCTAGCTTTTACTACAGTTTGGTATCGGTTAGAGAACCATTAAAAACCAGGTAGCATTTAACACAGATTATTCAGCAGTGCTCGCCGACTACTCCACTCGGTTTAAACTGTCAGCCTATACCTTGCGTTGAATGCGTTAATTTTTGGGCCGTGGTCTACGATAATATACTTGTTGCTTACTGAGTTCAGTCTTATCGGGTGTGACAGATATCACGTTGCAATTAATAGTTATAATCGCGCAGTATCTTAAGTTTATTTCAATTGCAAATGTGAACCACTGTATCCCTACACATTGCTGGTCTAAAATTGTTGTACTCCTGATAAAACCTGAAAGCTGTGGGTTTGATGTGGTATAAGTCAATAAGAAGTCCCGAACTAGGACGATACAACTGCCCAGTCTTTCCTAGTTCTCACTGTTGATCTGGGTTTGATATCACTCTGTAATGAAAACTAACTTCATGTTGTAACCCGCTTTTTGTGGATAAGAACATTTTAAATTTATTTGATTACTTTGATTTTTTTATAGACCAGAAGATTTAAACTTAATCACGCTAGTTACGGGAAAGATAGCACTTCTAGGTATGGATCTATTGGATAATATTAATCCTTTTAGTAATGAATGTTCGTTATTTGTTGGTGAACTAACAGAAGATGTTGATGATCTTGCTTTATTCAATGCTTTTAAAAAATACCCAACATGCCGTTCAGCTAAAGGTAACTATCATTGTAGAAGTGTGTTCTTATTAATCATTGTAATTAATAGTTGTGATGACAAATGGCAAGTCTCGTGGATACGGTTTTGTTCGTTTCCTCACTGAATCTGATATGGATAAAGCGTTGATTGAAATGCAAAATTATTGTGGTTTAGGCTATAAACCGATTCGAGTGAGTCTTGCTATTCCGAAGCGTTATAATGCAGATGGAAGTCTGGTTGTTACTACAACAGCATCTGAGACGAGTTCAGTGGTTCCAAGTGGTAAGTAATTAAAACTTAATAAACACGGTTTGTCATTAGCAGTTATGAGTGTTTTTAATCCGATAAAGTTTATTAACTCTTCACATGTAATCAGATTAGTTTCTACCCCTTACTAATCTACGTCTTTATGCATCACCAGTCTTCTAAAGATTCATCAAACCGTTGAACAAAATCCGACTCAGTCAGAATACTCGAATCTAATTTACCTATGTGTGCTTCATTCCTTGTTTATGTTTTCTTGGCAAAGGTTTCAATTTTAGTGGGAAACAATTCTTCAAATGATTTTGCTTGAAAACTTGAAGTCAGTTGAACTAAATCATAACTCCCTTCAATTACACAACGAGAGTCATTTTCTTTGATTTAAGGTCGAAGGAAATATATAGATAGTTCATCGTAAACTTCTCAAAATTTTGTATCACATCTATTTTTTTTACCAACGTGCCTCCAAATGTCCTGGTGCAGCCGAGGTTGAGGAAAGTTCTCTCTCCCTGTTTAAATACTCTCATCTAGTCACTGTAATAGAAGTTTTACCCTCTACCTTCTCGTGACGGGGATGTTGTTTACAGAATCCAGTGGACGAAAAGCAAATGTCCGGCTCTTTAACCGGGTTAGTAGGTACGGAGGGTCCATTTAGTAGAGTTGGAAAATCTTGATTCCAAATCAATGATGCACATGGGCTCCAGGATCCTGAGGGGACAAATGGCGTATTAACCTATTCTTGGTCACCGATTACCATGGGACTACAACTCCTAAAGTTGCTTCACTGCCTTATGAATCAGATCTTTAAGTCAAATACTCGGGGTGTGGTCTCCTAAGAAAATCACCTGTTTCGGTTTGGGCGCCTGAGCGTTATCCCACAACACAAAAGTTCGATGATTTGTGTGGAGTATATTTACATTGATCCCCCTCCGTACCAATGTTGATGTGTTTAAATAAGTAATTAATAATTAAAACAAGACATCAGGAGTTCTAATTTTCATCTCTCGTATTACTCTTCAACCCCTCAGATTATGTTTAGAAATAAAAAAAAACAGATACATAGATCTAAGATGTGACCCCAGAAGTAAGAATTTATACAACATATACCCTACGTAAGATAAGGAATTTTGAGGTGTTTTCATCGGTTATGAACAATCATAGTATGAACAAATAGAAGCCAATTTGATAACTTTCTGGTTGACTTGAGAAATGATGATCAGCTAATTGTTATTTTGCTTAGTTTTTTTAAACTTAGGTCTTCCCTTACAACTCATTTAAGTAACTAATATTGTCGAGTTGGTTCCAAAGATTGCATTGAGTTTCCTAAACTGAGTAAACTTATACTCTCACGTACATAATTGGTCATTTCTGACAGTTTTATGTTTCCCCGACCGAAGCTGCTACCTTGATGCGGTGGTCGGGCTTGCCTATCGTGATGACCCAACCGAACTATATTGGCTGGAACATATGTTCCCGTAGCTTCTACCATGCCAGGCAGTTCGATTGGAGAACGGTAAGACTAAAAGCAGCAACTCAAGGTCTGAGGGCGGAGTCGTACTGCTGACTACAGAGGGGTGTGACATCATTAAGGTGTTTCCATCAGACAACTAGCATCTGCAGCGATGCTGCCTTCCCACAAGGACGGGTGGGGTTAGAAAAGGTCGACCCTAAAAATGTCACACCTCACCTTACCTCACGGATTTTCGTCTCCGGCGGTAAAACCCTTTGAAGAACGGAGCTAATACGTCAAAAACCTCCCACAAAAAGGCCGTGCGCGACCGGCCTCAAGCAGTTGTCCCTTGGGCTCTGCGGTCACGCTCCCAGGTCATTAAGACCAACACTAATCCAATTTACTTTTCAGGTTTCTCAATAAATACCCTTCCATGATGTGGGCAGCCGGGAAGTGATATCAGCCCTCATACCCGTAACAGCGCACGAGAACAAGTTGGTCACATTCAAATCCTTCCTACACCTCCCAATACCTCTCTTATCTCCATGACTAACCCTCCTCACGTCTCTTTACCACCTCGCACCGTTAGGGAAAACGATTCGAGTACGTGGAACGCTATTCCTGGTTTCCTGAAACCTCGCTCTAAACTACACGTACGAGCTTTTAACGTCCGAACATTATGCCAAACAGGACAACAGGCTTCCTTAGCTAGGACTTTAGAATCTCGCGCCATCGATGTGTGCTGCGTCTCCGAAACGCGCATACAGGATCTGAGTAGCGTCATTCATTTGACCTCACCATGCCAAAATAAAGAACCGACTTGATTCACACTTCATGTATCTGGAAGCCCTGATTCTGCTTCCCGTGGTCTCGCCGGCGTAGGTATAGCATTGAGTCCTAGGGCAGAACTAGCTCTCTTAGAGTGTATCCCAGTAAACAGTCGTTTGTGCGCTGTCCGACTGAATGGAACAGTAAGGATCCGAAAAGATAGGGACACTCGTCGTTGCCTCTTCGTCGTCTCTGCCTATTCTCCCACTGACTGCAGCTCAGATGATGTAAAAGATGAGTTTTACAGAAATCTCTTTGACCTTCTCCGAAAAGCTAGACGCTCGGATGTAGTAATAGTGGCCGGTGACTTTAATACTCAAGTAGGTAAACTAAGCGATAGGGAAAGACACCTGGGTGGATGTTATAGCATCATGACTCAAAGAACAGATAATGGCGACCGTCTGTTGCAGCCATGCTCAGATAACCGCCTGTTCCTTGCAAATACTAACTTTAAGCATAAGGAAAAACATCTTTTAACATGGCGACCCCCTAATTCGTCCCAACGTTGGACCCAAATAGATCACATCGCTATCAGCCACCGATGGAGGGGCTCGATAGAAGACTGTCGCTCATTCTGGAGCACATACCTAGATTCAGATCATGCTCTAGTGCGAGCGCGTATATGCTTGGGTCTTACTGGACGTAGGAAAGACGCTGCAAGGAAACCTCTTAGGGGCCTACTTAATGATAGTCAAGCTAAGAGTATATTTCAGGAACAACTAGGAAAACAGTTAGGCAGCCATGTATGTGATGCCCACCCCGATGCAGCATGGAATGATATCCGAAAAGCTGTGGAAACAGCAGTGATATCTGCTAGTAAGGTAAACCACAAGGTTAGGGAGCAACACTGGATCTCAGCAGCATCTACCGCATTGATAGATGCTCGAAAACTCATTCCACCTGGCTCTGAACATAATAAAGAGCGGAGTCAGCTTAAGCGCAAGCTGACAAGAAGTCTACGCAATGATCGTGAACAGTGGTGGGTAGCGAAAGCAAGATGTTGTAACGTGTGGATTGCAGATTATGATAGCAGCTTATATTATCGATCAGATCAATGACCTAGAGTCCCTATTGGCCCTGCTTCGCTGTCTAGCCCAGCCAGTCGAGTCCAGAACGCAAGTCTTAGCCTCTAAGATATGAATCATTATATTTCAGACATACTCTGTTTATATGCCAACCAAACAAAGCACATCGTATCATAAAATAGAAAACAACATTTGTACAATATTTAACAAGTGAAACAAATATTGACCAATAGGGAGTGTACATTTAAAGTCCAAGGCCACCATTAGACTTAACATGATAATTATTGGTATATTTTTCTGCACATCCTAACACAAAAGAGATGGAAAAGGCAGTGGCAATAGGTAATAGCAGACAATTGTTCAGACTCGTTAGGGAAACCGGTATTAGGAACCCGACTGTTAGCGAAACACTCACAGAGAAAGATGGACATATTATACATTCTCAATCCAGGAGATTGGATCGATGGGCAGAACACTTTAGGGATCAGTTCAACTGGCCTTCAGCCACACTTCAGTTTCCCACGATCTCTAGTCAACCTGAATGGCAAGTTAATGTAGGTCCTCTGTCTCTTTACGAAGTTGAAAAAGCCATAGGAAATCTGAAGCGAGGGAGAGCAGCAGGCCCTGACAGGTTCACTCCTGAGATTTTTAAGGATGGTGGTTCAGTATTAGCAGTAAGATTAACTGAGGTCTTAGGTAGAATTTGGGAATTGGATGCAATCCCATCTGACTGGTCTCAATCACTGATTGTGCCAGTCTATAAGAAAGGACAAAAGTCCTCTTGCGACAATCACAGAGGAATCAGTTTGACTAATATAGTGTCTAAAATATTAGCTTCAATAATACTTCGACGCCTAATCAAAGCTCGCGAAGAGCAGATTAGAGAAAACCAGGCCGGTTTTCGACCTGGACGTGGTTGTATAGATCAGATATTCACACTACGTCAGGTTCTAGAACACAGACACACGTTCAGACGCCCCTCAATGGTAGTATTTCTCGACCTTAAGGCGGCATTCGACTCTGCTGATCGTAAGGTTCTATGGCAGTGTTTGTCACTGAAAGGAGTACCAAAGAAGTACATTAACCTTATACAGGCTCTCTACCCGAACACATCTGGCCGAGTGAGAGCTTATGGCGAACTGTTATCAGAATTGATTACCTCAAATGGTGTTCGTCAGGGCTGTCCACTCTCCCCATTCTTGTTCAACTTTGTCATTGATGTACTTTTAGAGATAACACTCTCCTCATCTGAATTTACAGGGGTTGAACTTCTACCAGGAGGTTCACTTGTTGACTTAGAATATGCTGATGACATAGTTTTATTTGGTGAAGACGCTGACAAAATGCAGAGTCTTCTGACCACTCTAAGCAACAGTGCAAGCATGTTCGGGATGCGATTCTCCCCCTCGAAATGCAAAATGTTGCTTCAGGATTTGGGTGCGTTGACACCCGAACTAATGATAGGGAGTGAAGTAGTTGAGCGTGTCGACCGCTTCACTTATCTTGGAATTCTCATCAGCCCTTGTGGTCTGGTGTGTGACGAAATCTCAGCACGGATACAGAAGGCTCGACTAGCTTTTGTCAACTTGCGTCATTTATGGCGTAGGCGAGATATCCGTCTGTCAACCAAAGGACGTGTTAACTGCGCAGCAGTTCGTTCTGTCCTACTTTATGGCAGTGAAACATGGCCGGTAAGAGTAGAGGATATTTGTAGGTTACTAGTATTTGATCATAGGTGTCTTCGAAATATTGCTCGTATATCCTGGGACCATCGAGTAAGTAATGCAGTTGTTAGGAAACGGGTACTAGGTAAGGATGGCAAATCAATTGATGACGTAGTGAAACTTCATCAGTTGAGATGACTGGAACATATATTACGTATGCCCAACCACCGACTGACCGATGTGCGATGTTTTGTTGTACAGGAGTAGATTGGAAAAAAGCTAGGGGCGGCCAGACCAAAACATGGCACAAATCCATGAAGTCACTGACAAGTAGACTGAGTCATATTGGTAGGTGTAGACTACCTGGTTGGGGACCGCGAGATGATAGCAACCGATGGTTAGAGACCCTGAATGACATGGCTGAAAATCGTTTGCAATGGTGCAGATGCATCCACTCTTTGTGTTCTCCCAAATTCTAATCTTCTGAATTCTTCATGTCCCTTTCTTTTTTCTCTTTCCAAATTTATTTCACTGGATTATAGTCCCTGAATAACATCTTCAAGCCCTAATTTTTCTGATTACAGCTTATAGTTTTACTACATCTAGCACTACGGGATTTGAATTGACCACTGTATCTCTGTGCTAATGTGGTGTGGCAATTCTATCTGATGTACGTACGTACGAAGTTCTATGTTGTTACTGACTGATTTTATGTTTCACTGGTTGAAATCATGAGTCAATTGAAGTTAGACCACCATGGAAAACCTGGAAGCACTAGAAAACCGTTTCGTCCTAGTATGGCACTCCTCAGCAATGCGCATCCACGATCCCGCCCTTCGCGAGACTCGAACCCAGGACCTATCAGTCTCGCGTCACGCGCTTAACCAACTAGACCACTGAGCCGGCCGTCATCCAGCGCTGTTAATGTCTAAATCCAACCAATTCAAGAAGTTACGTCGCCATACACCATTGTCTTCAGCGAGTTGATATCTCAACAAACCTGGTTGAACTCTACTGGTCACGGTTTCTCACTAGAACTCCAAGAAATGCCTCTTGAAGTCAGTCTCTATTGAGCAGGTGATTATTATGAGAAGGGGTTTTGTGGAGATTTTAGATATTAACACCGTTGGATGCCGGCTCAGTGGTTTAGTTGGTTAAGCGCCTGGTGCGAGACTGATAGGTCCTGGGTTCGAATCTCGCGGAGGGTGGGATCGTGGATGCGCACTGCTGAGGAGTTCCATACTAGGACGAAACGGTTTTCCAGTGCTTCCAGGTTTTCCATGGTGGTCTAACTTCAATTGACTCATGGTTTCTACCAGTGAAATCTGTAAAATCTCTACAAGACCCTTTCTGATAATTTTATGTTTGCCTAACAAATTTTTAAAATAAGATTTCCACATATAATACTTGTCAGCAATTTAAGTTTTTAGAACGTTAAATCACTCAAAAATATGGATAAATCAGACGTAGCTGTTCTTTTTCAAGTTTATTTTTTCATTCGGTGTAGTGAAATCTCGATTTTGTACTATGTTTTCTAAGGATTATGCATTTTAATCATGACTTCACTGCTCGCTACCATTTTTTAGGTATGCCCGATCCATTCACTGCTGCAGTTGCGGCTGCTGTAACGGGGAATTCTGCAGCTCAAGCAGAATATTATCAAGCTTATCAACAATACTATCAACAGTACTATGCTTCTCAATATGCAGCCCAGTTTTATTCCAGTGAATCATCTACAAATGGCGACTTAGCTAATTCTGGAATAACATCGATTGCCGGTGGTGGTACGCTTGTAGGCGATGCTACAGTTCAACAGCATGCATTCGTCGATGCTGCTGCCTCACATTTATATGCTAGAGCACTTCAGCAAGGCACCGGCTCACATGAATATGCCCCAGGTATTTTATATCACCATCCCATAAATCAGCAATTTATTTTTGTGTGAAACTATAATCTAGCAAAGAGTCACCGTAGTTCAGGGCTCACTTTACTTTTAATATTCAATTTTAATGCCGTAAGGGTTCGCTCTGTGTGGTCGGAACTAGTGTCTGTAATCCCTCTGAGTAATCACATTTTACTATCTAGTCAGTGATTTTGAATTCCTTTGCTTACTTCATTCACAGTATTATTATCATTATGTTTCCCTCTGTAGCTCGATAAATCTAAGGATCACTGTTTCTCAGTAAATCGTTGAAACATAAATAGACATCAAGTTTTTATCTAACAAGAATTTATTTGTTTCTAGTTACCGTATTTTCTAAGTGAATTATCTCAGCACTGGCTACTCGTATTGATGACAAATCCTTATTCTGTACCATCGGGATAGCAGCACTTCAGGATCCTAAAAAACCGGATGACTTATTGTTGTAACGCTCGATTTTACTTCGACTAATGTTGTAACGGATGGGTTTCCACGTTTACACGTATGGGACGTTAATTTACCTTAAACGAGTATCTACATTAGATTCCCTACCAGTGTCTATACTACAGGACGTCAACACAACTCAAATCAAGAACACGTGATTAGCCTGACCACAACCCGACATAATCCAACAACAATGAACAATCAATAATGAAGTCACAATAATAATAAGGATAGAGGGATATATAACCCATCTGACACCTGTCAGACTATCTACATGTCTGACTAAGCAGACAACCAATCATTATCATTCTCGTCCGCACATCACCTCCCTCGCAAAGTTTGATCGTATGACTTCACTTTTGGGTCTATTTGAAAAAATCCCGTTTGTTTTCGTCCCCTTAATGATCTTCGGCTAGCTTCTGATTCCAGCTCATTTTTTCTCATCCCAACTTGTGGTGGTGGTGGAATATTAAATGTATCACATAATACTTCCATTGGTAAAGTTTTGGCTTTAGGTGACTCATAAACATTTTTTCTGTCTCGCAGTTGATTGATGTGTTTAATAATTAGTGTATTTTTGACCATCACTTCATACAATACCGTCCCACATTTTTTTAAAATACATCCAAATATCCATTTTGGCTTTCCAGGCCGGAAACCACGTGCATAGACTAAGTCACCTGCTTTAAATTCTCGAATCTTCGGGCGATTCCCTTTCTTATTTTTTGTAGTCCATTCATTCTGTCTTTGGGGTTCAAAGCACCAAAAGATGTTTTAATTGGTCGGCCAAATATTGTTTCGGCTGGTGATTTAATCATATTGCAGACAATGTTCAACGGCCGGTCCCATAAACCAAATTTGTCTATCCAGTCAATACCTAATAGGTTGGTATGACAGGTTCCAGATACATAACATTTTCCGGTCATAGTCTTGTCACTGAACGTGAGAGATATCCGCATTTCTCCAAGAGGAGTAATGTTAGTTCCTGTCTCACTCTTAGCGTTCTAATATGTAGGTTGATATCGAGGTCAACTAAGTTTTATCCAAGTCTCTAGAAATTAGTGTTATGTCAGACCCCGTATCAATTTGCAGCTTAACAGGTTTACCGTTGAAAAACATAGTTACGTACTTCCTCTTGGATGAATTGATCTAATAGTGTTGATATAAAGTGTTACTGTTAACTTCTCGTTTCACTCATTACTTTGAATACAAATAACTTCGTGCAAACCGGTTTTTCTTTCTCTTGACATTTGTTCCTCTTAAACACTAGATTATTATTTTAAATATTATGGGGTAGTGGTCACTTGACTACAGTTCAAATAATCGTATACTGACAAATCTAATATACATAGTTATAGGCCTTATTATACTCCTTTATCACGGAATATGAAATAACGCTTTAAGTAATAGTTATTCAATAATATTTTTTTAAATTACTATAATTTAATTAACCAGTCATGACATGGCTCAAAATCGTTTGCAATGGTGCAGGTGCATCCACTCTTTGTGTTCTCCCAAATTCTAATCTTCTGAATTCTTCATGTCCCTTTTTTCCAAATTTATTTCACTGAATTATACTCCTTGAATAACGTCTTCAAACCCTAGTGTTTCCGATTACTGCTTATACTTTTACTAACTCTACCACTATGGGATTTGAATCGACAACTGCATCTCTGTAGTAGTTTGGTATGGCAACTCGAACTGATGTATGTACGTACGAAGTTCTACGTTGTTGCTGACTGACTAACTGACTAAACCAGTCGACCGTATTTACTATGGCAAGTCAGTTTTTAATTAGATTATTTTGTCATTAGCAAAGAAGAATGCTTTAAATTAACCATTACTAGTTTGTAATGTTTAATTTTCCTTTAACTTTTTTCTTCAAAATTTATTATGTAGAGCCACATGTTTTATCATCAGCTTGTGATCGTCCACGACATGTAGATGATTTAGATGAAGTGTTCAATTTTCTAGAAGCATCACGATGGCATGTCACTGATCCATCATTGGGATTATTTATTAAAATAAGACCATAACTATTTATTCACCTTTATTGTTCCTGTTTTTAGTAAAGTACGTTGTATTTTTATAAGTTTGAACAAAGTATATTGAGTTTTCTTTTTTTTTAAAAAGTATTGGGACTATGTGATGTAAATACATTTCATGTATATGTATGTTTTTATTTTTGTTTCATATGAGTATTTGATTATCGTTTTGATGTGTTCTTTTGTGAAACGATAATCTAGGATATTCAATAATATATTTTCCCAGTTTTATGGTTAGAAGTAGCCGTAGTTAAATAAGAATGTGTTGGGATTTTTTTTTAAAATTATGATATAGATAAATAGATCTAAATCCCAGTAATAAATCTTCTACATGTTCAAGTACAAACTGATTCGTTCGGACCATAGATGTTAGGCAAGTGATGTTGTTTCTTATTATGTAGTTCAAAAATATCTTAGTTGGTGTGTTATGAATTACTAATCTTATATTAACTATGTTGAGTTGCACTCTGTCTTATTGTCTCTGAGTACCGCAAGCAGGTGACTACAATGACAAGCTTACGATCTAATTCAGAATAATAAATAAAACCTAGGAGATGTAAAAGTATGTAAACTTATTGAGGTCCATCTCGGAAGGTGAAATATCTTTACGTTAATATCACTAGTGTGTTATGCTCGTCAGATTGCTTTCTGAACTACAGTTACCCAGTGTGTTTTGCGTTTAAAGGACACCTTTGACTGAGGTCAGTCAGTCAGCTACAACGTAGGACCAGGCACATATATACATCGGTCCAAGTTGCCATACCTCATTAACACAACAAGATGGACACCGGATTCATAAAAGTAATTAATTCAGAGGTGGTAATATATAAAAGAAAGATTGCAATAAGGATATAGTACACGAAGAAAGAATTAGTTCGTAGAAAGATATGAAGCAATTTTAATCTCTTAGTTTAAGGGAAGACAGTAAGTGAATACACCGACGCCATTGTGATCGATTCTGAGTCATGTCACCAAGAGTCTCCAACCATTGGTTACGACAGTCACGCGGACCCCAACCAGGTAATCTGCATCTACCAACATGGCTCAGACTAGAAGTTAATGTCTTCAAGCACTGATGCCACGTTTTGGTTTGGCCGCCCCTAACTTTCTTCCAACCATCTCCAACACCGGTTAGCATTGCACGTCATGGTAATCGGTGTTCAGGCTTATGTAACACGTGGCCCAACCATCTCAGTCGATGAAGATTCACAACCCCATCAACTGATTTACCGTCATTCCCTAATACCCTGGTGTCTAACCTCACTATTACTTACCCGGTGACCCCAGCAATATTTCTGAGGCATCTGTGGTCAAATACTAATAGCTCACGAGTGTCTTCTACTCTTAATGGCCATGTTTCGCTGCCGTAAATTAAAACAGAACGGACTGCCGCGCAGTGTACCCGTCCTTTTATTGATAGACGGATATCTTGCCTTCGCCATAGGTGACGTAAGTTGGCAAAAGCCAAGCGAGCTTTTCAAATCCGTGCTGAGATTTCGTCAGACACCAACCCATTAGGTTTGATCAGACTTCCAAGATAAGTGAAGTTGTCGACGCGTTCGACTACTTCACTCCCTATCCTTAGTTCAGGTGTTGACGCAGACCAGTCCTGAAGCAACAACTTGCATTTAGAGGGAGAGAAGCGCATTCCAAACATTCTGGCATTGTTGCTCAGTGCTACCAAAAGACTCTGCATTTTGTCAGCGTCTTCACCAAACAGGACTATATCATCTGCGTATTCTAAGTCGGTAAGTGGACCTCCTGGATGGAGATCAATACCCGAGAATTCAGTCGACGAGAATGTTATTTCCATCAATAAGTCTATGACGAAGTTAAACAAAAATGGAGAAAGTGGTCAGCCCTGACGGACACCACTTGAGGTTGCAAAAGTAAATGACAGTTCGCCATAAGCCCTGACTCGACTAGTAGTGTTCGAGTAAAGAGCCTTCACAAGGTTTATGTACTTCTGAGGTACGCCTTTCAATGACAGACACTGCCACAGAATCTCGCGGTCTACCGAGTCAAATGCTGCCTTTAAGTCGAGCAAGATCACCATTGTCGGACGCCGATAAGTATGCCTATGTTCTAGAACCTGACGAATGGTGAATATGTGGTCGATGCAGCCACGACCAGGTCTGAAGCCAGCTTGATTCTCTCGTGTTTGCAGTTCACGAGTCTTGGTTAAGCGTCTGATAATTATCGAGGCTAGTATTTTAGATACTATATTAGTTAAACTAATCCATCTATGGTTGTCACAGAATGATTTTAACCCTCTTTTATATATTGGGACGATAAGTGATTGTGACCAGTCAGATGGGATAACGTCTAACTCCCAGATCTTATTTAAGATATTAGTCAACCTAATCGCTAAAATTGAACCACCATCCTTAAATACCTCTGGAGTCAATCCGTCTGGACTAGCTGCCCTTCCTCGTTTCAGATTAACTATAGCCTTTTCAACTTCTGCTAGAGTTGGGGGACCTACGTCAATGTTCCATTCACACTGTCTGGGAATGGAGGGTAGTTGTAGGGTAGCTGGAGACCAGCTGAACTGTTCTCTGAAATGTTCCGCCCATCGCTCTAAACGTCTGGACTGGGAGCTGATGGGAGGAGTCATACTCAGAAACTTTTTCGACAACTAGCCTACTGTATTGTCAAGTCCTAAAATAAGTTTTGCACCAATGTTTTGATTAGCTATCGACAATCATAATCTCGAAAATACAGTAGTCACCACTAATTATTACAAGTATTGTTTTCATTCTCCAAGAAGAATTAATTACATCGTCTGAATCTTCGAGATCATTCGTTTCGATACCTCGTTAGTCCACACGAGAACGCAAAGATAGTGTGCTGTTAGTAACACTAGATTCTCTCAAAATGCTGAAGTCGTAAGATTTTCCAAAGACATTTTCCATCAATAGCAGTTTTTATGACGCATTTTAATTCGACCCGACGTTTAGAGATTCATCTAAATATGTCTGAAATATGGAGCCTGAGTAAGTAGGTGTGGTGTTGGTTTTAGTTAATTTACATCACATCCACTAAGAATACTATGTGACAATTTTCGTGGTATAGTGGGTGCAGGAAGTATTTTGAAGAATTTTTGTGAGGTTTTAATTTCACGCCTCAAAGTTCATGATATTCGTGTTATTTACCTAACACTGCGCTATAACGGACATATCTCTGAAAAACGTTTTATTTATTTATAGACTAGGAGTGGTAAATATGGTGATTTACGGAGGTCCTCTTTGTTTTTAAGGCATTTGGTGGTTTTAAAGCTATATTTTGTGTAGTTGGGTTTATGCAATATATATCCACCAGTCATTACATTTGAAAATTCCAAGTCTACACGTCGTGTAGAATGCTCAGAGTTGCGTGTGGCTTTTTAACTGACTAAAAAGCTACATAAGAGGAGGTGGATGCAAAGCTGAGACCAGGTCAAATCTGCTTCGCCGACCTTGAGTGCCTTTGTCCAGGCAGGGGTTCTGCATTTCAAATGCTTGATGTTTGTTGAGCGTGTATTAGTTTAAATGAGTTCGTAGTGTTGGCATAACTGGGTTGTATGTTGAGGTCTGGAAATTTAAATGAACACGTTTTAACTCACTGTAGGTTTGTTATCTTTTTTAGTGCCGATATTTCATTTGTTTCTGGGTAATTGTCCATCTGAGGGCTGCCTTTTTGTCCACTCTGTTGGGGAGCGTTTTATATTCAAAAAATGCCGTATTCTCGGTAACAACAATAAAATGCAATTGTAGGTACTGTTTGTTTACTTTGGCAGGGAAATATATAGCTCAATTGGCAAAGCTTCCAGTTCCCGAGATATTTCTTATGAACAATTTAGACGTCTGATCCTGAACAAATTGTTGTTTTGGGGTGATCTCTTAAGGAAAACATTTCTTTATGGATCACTACAATTGTCATGATTTATATTTTTTTGCAGTCGAATAAATGGTATTTCCTACCTGTGCACAGTAATAGTAATAGAAGTAGTAAAACATGTAGTTCGAATAAGGTGTCTGCCAACCTAGGTGTTTTTTTCAACAGCGGTAGCTTTAGCAAATGCCCTACGACTGGGAAGAATTAAAACATAGCTTCAACGAGTTTCAGTAAGTGCAGGTTAAATATTACAAGTTCAGATAATGTATGCTCATTACATTTGTCTACTGAATGTGGGAAATCGTAATAAGTAATTCAAGCATGAGTTTAGTTATTTAAATGTAAAGTTGTAAAGTTTCGACCTCACTATCAAACCGTAGGAAAGTTCAGTCACATGCAAATAAGAAGGTATAAGTATTTTGAATGTCAGGTCTTCGAATTGCTCCTTTATTAACTATTACCATTCTTTATCAACATTCAACGTTCAGAGATAAGCGTTCCAACCTGAGTCATCGTGGTACTGGAGTTCAATGTTATTCCAATTCCATCAAACTACATATCAACATCAATGGTTTATTATCTGTTTCGTAGTTCGTCGCATGCATTTGCTCAAATTGTTAAGTGAAAGACAGTAATAAACATCAGCCACGTAATAGAGTGATTTAACGCACTGTTGAGACAAGCTTGTGCTATCTCATAAATTTTGAGGTCGTTCATAATAAGTGGCCAATGAGAAATGACGGCAGTCAGCAGACCGTTCATAGGTAATACATATATTGTCAAACATAGTGCAGCGTCTTTATGCACCAAGGTGGACACCAGTTTCTAGGGAGAGTATTTATAGGTAATCGTTTTCTATGTAATCGACCATTTACAAATTATATATTTTGCTTAGAAAAGTGTTCTATGAATCTCAGACTTTTGTTTTCGATGGCACTCTAGTTTTTGGTGCATATAGGGCTATATTCTTTCTTGCCCCTGAATGATTAACACAAGAACTACTCTGAAAATTGGACGCAGGCGCTCTCTATTCAGTTTGGAACAGTCTAAACTTTTGAATTCTACAGGTCATCCATGGTACAAAATATCTACTTGTACAGGTTTTTTGGTGAGCATATTGAATACTGCTTGATGGCGAATATAATGTGTAATGTTCTATGGCCGGTCAAATATCACGAGGCAAAATCACCAATCAAGACACAGACGAATGTGCCCACTAACGCGTTTTACAGCGCGACCAGCCTTGAGTCAA